AAAATCTCGGTTTTTAAGTGGACGGGATCCCGCTGTAGCCGGAGATGCCGAGGCTTGGCCCTCTATCGGAGGTGACAGCTTCAGGGTAGCAAAGTCTGTATTTAAATCTTGGAAACGTACGGGTACTCCCATTATGCTTTCTGTATTATCAGAGATACATATCAGAGGCTCTTGTATTATGAACCAGATGACTGTGATTTCGCTGAAGAATCCTGACAGACTAATGGCATTCAGGTAGCATGCTCTAGTAACAACTCGCGACGCAGCATTTGTTTTACTATATGGGATGGTCGTGATTCACTACATGAGCATAACGTTCAATATGACAAGACATTCCTTCTCGCAAACGGCGCAACAGCGAGTCGCTGTCAGCGATGTGGACATCTCCTAGGCCTTTTACTGATACAACCTGAGCGAGAACCTATCCAGTTGCTCCGAGAAGCAGCTGATGTTCGATCTAGTGTTTGAACTTCACGTGATCCAAGACATACGTCACAATTGCGTATCGGCCTGTCGAAATGTTTAACCTAGCTTCAGGACATTCATTACGCGTATTGTCTGCTACAAATTGTGCGAAGACAGCCTGGGGAAAACGTCGAATTTGAAAACCGGCTTGAATGCCGAAGTTAAAATTTAAGAAGACGCATAAACCTGTTGTGATTGGTGGGATTCAGGCATCTCCGTCCAACGATAAAAGTGTCCAATCAATAGCCGACATTAGTCTCGGCAATGGCAGCGAGCATACTTGTTCTAGAAAGGTTCGAAACCTACTTCTCAACGGCTCTAACCGTCTTTGGACTACAACTTCGTCTGATTATTCATGACAAACAGTGAGAATTTGCAAGCCCGACTGGGATTCGACCTGTCAAACTTGGCCCCAACGCAGTGTTTGACAGACATGACGAGTGTTTCACGGCAAACCCGGACCACTTGACTAATGTAAACACACTATCTGATCAAGAATTAGCTTGGAATATGGAGTCAAATCGGCCAACTATGAGGATCTTTTCTTATTGTAGCATGAATCAGCTACCATGGCACCCACTATCTGTCCGGCGTTATTGCGTAGACAGTATAAACTATCGGCCTTGGTTAACGAAAATGCCTTGGTTTGTCTCCGTCGATGGACCCTCATGAGCTAAGGGTCTTGAAATCTCACAATGGGGCGGCAAGATCGGTTTTCAGCACCTAACTTCTTAAGAAACCATATTCCCTCGCCATCGACTGACATTCCCATACCACTCGTTATCAATCAATAAAGTGGATCCTCATTTCAAGGCTCATCATGCGCTTCTTATTTCTCTCGGGCGTCTCTGCCCTTACCTTGGCCGCTCTCACGTCACCGGCTTCATGCAAGCCCGCCGATTCTACCTACGATTACATTGTTGTTGGCGGTGGCCCTGCTGGCCTGATCACAGCTGAGCGACTCTCAGAGGCCAACAAGAAGGTACTGCTTCTCGAGCGGGGACATGGTCCAACCGTCGCGTCTGGATCCAATCACTCTCTATCTTGGGATTCCTCCCTTACCCCAATCGACGTCCCTGGTCTCTCTTCTGCTGTTGGTGGACTTGATCTATGGAACGAGTATATGTGTGATGATACTGCTGCATTGGCGGCATGCGTTCTTGGTGGCGGTGTCACCGTCAATTATATGGTCTTTGTGCATCCTCCTGCTCGCGACTTTGACGACAAGTGGCCCAAGGGTTGGAAATGGAGCGATGTTGCACCGGCAGCTGACAGACTATATGCTCGCAACCAAGGCACTCTAGTTCCCTCCAAGAACAACGAGCGATACGACCAAGGACTCTACAACACTTTATCTGGCTTCTTCAACAAGCTGGGCTGGAAGTCGGTTGACATGATCAAGCAGCCTAACGAGAAGTATGAGGTTTACAGCTGGCCATCCTGGAATGTCAAGAATGCCCTGCGAGCTGGGCCCGTCAGGACTTATCTCCCCCTTGCCCAGAAGCGAAACAACTTCACTCTTCGCATGGGTTCCAAGGTCATTCGCGTTGTCCGATCTGGCTCACGAGCTACTGGCGTCGAAGTTGAAACTGGTGCAGGCAAGAAGGAGATTGTGAAGCTTTCCAAGAACGGTTGCGTTGTTCTTTCTGCTGGCGCCCTCACAACTCCTCGCCTGCTGTTCAACTCGGGCATTGGCCCCAAGAAGCAGATCCTGACTGCCAAGAAGACTGGTGTTACTCTTCCTGCCGAGAGAAACTGGATCAGCCTTCCTGTCGGCGAGAACCTCATGGACCATCCCATCTTCACATTCACTGTCAAGACTGGTGGTGCTTGGGGCATGCTCGACACCGACAGTGTCTTAAACGGCACCGATACCAAGAACATCGATCTATACGAGAAGAAGTCCTCTGGAATCCTAACTCAAGGCCGCCATCGCATGATCTTCTTCAGCTCCAACAAGGGTTCCGATGGTGTCACTCGATACTTCCAGGGATCGTGTGCCGCTGGAGGTGATGGCATCGCTTCTATCAAGGTCTACATGACCCACGGTCTGACATCCACCGGTGTTCTGGGTATGACCGAGGAGGGCAAGACTGTCATTGAGAAATCTCCTTACCTGCAAACAGATGGAGATGTCGAGGCTGCAAAGGCTTTTGTTCAGGATATGGTTGAGAAGATCACCAAATCTTCATCTGGATTTGTTCTTCAGAAGGAGACCAACGCCACAGCTATTATCAAGGCTGTTACCAGCGGGAACCACTATGCCGGTACTACCAAGATGGGTACTGATGATGGGCGCAAGGGAGGCTCCTCTGTTGTTGACACTAACGCCAAGGTATATGGCATGGACAATCTTGTAAGTGTATTTTGTCTCTTTCGATCAACAATCTACTTACTAATGATCTCTAGTTCGTATCTGATGCCGGCATCCACCCCGACCTTCCTACTGGCAATATCCAGACTATTGTCATGGTTGCTGCCGAAGCTGCAGTTGCTAAGATTCTTGCTTGTTAAGGAGCCTGAGCTTCACAAAAGGATCCTTGTAAATATATAAAAGCAGTAAATACTGTTGGAACGTATTTGAGTGATTTTATGGTTTAAAATATGGCAATAAGTGCGCCGTAGCATCTAAGTGAATTGTCTCAGAGACTTTTAACCACCTCGATGCAGACCTTGCCGAAATGTTTCATGCTCTCCAAGTATTCGAAAGCATCTCTGGCCTCTTCAAGACTAAAAACCCTCTCATCAATCACGGGTTTAATATTGTTCGCTTCAATTGCACGATTCATATCCTCGAATTGCATGCGAGGACCCACGTATGCGATACGTATAGTGCAGAACCTGTAAAACATATCTATAAGAACTGGCTGATCTTTAGGGTGAGAGCCAGCCCGTTTCCCAACGACAGAGATAAGTCCGTCCACCTTCACGGCATCCAGGGACTATCCAGTTAAGACACGTCAGCAGTAGCACATCAAAAGCAAAGGTGTATCTTCCATACCTGTTTCAGAGTCGCACCGCCTCCGATTTCGACCACGACGTCAACTCCCTCCTCCCCTGGTGTAAGAGCCTTCGCTTTAGCACCCCAGTTCTCAACTTCGCGGTAGTTAATAACATGGTCGGCTCCTATTTCTTGTAGCTTCTTGGCCTTTTCGGCTGAGGACGTGGTCGCAATGACTTTGGCGCCAGCTGCCTTGGCGAACTATAGCCCGAGTCAGTTTGAAGTTCGTGGCTCTGGCCAATATCGGCAACTGAGACTTACAAGAATAGCAAAAGTGCTTACACCGCCAGTTCCCTGTGTAAGAACCCACTGTCCCGGGAGTAGAGGGCGACCTTGAGCGCCAAACAGAGCGTTCCACGCTGTCAGCCCTGCCACTGGCAACGTGCTACCCTCAATAAACGTAAGGCTGCGCGGAAGAGCAATCGAATATTGTGCTGGAACGACGACGTACTCTTGGAGGACGCCATGGTAAGCGTTTCCCAATATGGCGTTTATGTACTCAAGCTTCATCGGACCAGATTGATGTGCTCCATTCATGATTGTGGTGGCTCTGTCGCCGATCTGGAAGTTCGGGACATTAGAACCGATGGCTATAATAACCCCAGATCCATCCGAGACGGGGACAACATCTTTCAAGGAATGTTCGTAATGGCCCTGAGTCCATGTTAGTATGACTCGAGGGCAGATGAGGTTACAGAAAGGCAAAGACAAACCCTAGTGGTGCCAACGTCGTGGTAGTTCAAGGAAATAGCGTGGACTGGATTGAAGTGAGTAGGAAAGAAAATGACAAGAACAGAGTAAATGATTTGAGTGATCTCTTACTCCTTATCATGACGTCGTTGGGCCCAAGCTGAGGGATAGGCGCCACCTGCATATCAAGCCCAGATGGGCCATCGAATCGCTTGACTACCCACTGTGTCGAGTTTTGCGGAAGAGACATGTCTAAAATGCAGTTATGGATGTTTCTGTCGGGCAAGCCTTCAGCAGTGGCCAGGCTTCTATTTAAATACTTAACTGCATCCTGGGATCATCGGCCGTCGAAGCTCCTCCGAAACTACGAACTGTTCCTGGTCGACTGGCCCTTGTCTCTCATGGAAGGTCTAATGACAGGGCAGCGTGAAATATCATTGGTTAGGCGCCGGACACTAATGCAACTTGCTTAGGTATGGGAAGAAGTTAGTCGTGAATTTGTAGGTGACCTGGCGCTAATGCAGCATGCTTGGAACAAAGCCATATACATACGATAAATAAGTAAGTTCTGAATAAATCCCGGAGACGCCAAAGCCCCGGATTCATGCTTGGTGACAACGTGACTATCATTGGCCAAAACGCTGACACTAATGCAACCTGCTTAGAAATACTAACTCAATAGAGCTAGCTAGTTCAAACGTGAGCTCAAGTCTCGCCAGAAGTTTCACGACATACAACAGCGAAGTGAAAAAGGAGTTTTCAAACTCGGCGGCATTCCCAGCTCTCGAGTCTGGCAAATTCTAATCTGCAGCAAGCTACCACAGCCATGGAGTATCAAGCCAACATGGCTGCCGCCCCTCTCATCAAGTTGAGTGACATGGCACAGCGTAGAGAGATACGTACCGCAAGCGAGGACTGGACTGGCATAACAAGCACTGCTAAGAGACGGAAGCTGCAGAACCGCTTGAACCAAAGGGCATATGGTGAGCATGGGTTAATTTTAGAAGCTGTACACCTGCTTATACTATGGGGTCGCAGAAAGAAGAAAAGCGTCAAGGCGATCGGCATCACTACATCCAGAGCAAGGCAGCACACCTCGTTACGCTACCATGGCCACGCCGGATGCACCGGAACAATCTACTACTCAGTTCTTGAATATGGTAAAACATCCTGCAGGCTACAAGCCTAAATCGGGCTGTGTGCTCCTCCGCCCGGACGCCCAAGGCGCAATCCGCCAGTTCGTCAAAAAGGCCTATGAAGATTATGTGCTAGGCTGCCCGCAGCCATGGTATCTGTCAACTCTGATCCAGGTCAACGTCTTCAACGCCCTTGTACAGAATGGCATAGCACTGGGGTTCTCAGACCGTTGGCAGAGAAAAGGTGTCATCTCGCCCTTCTCTATAATTGGACCGTTGGAGCCTTGTGACTCTTACCCAGTAAATCTTCAACCAACAGCCTTGCAAAGGACTGTTCCCCATCATCCGTGGATCGACCTTTACCCGATCCCCAGAATGAGGGATAACATCCTGCTCTCACTACAACACCTGGATAAGGATGAGCTATGCAGCGACCTGCTCGATGTCAGGCCTGGCTTGGATGAGAAGCCGAGCCTGGTAGTTTGGGGAGACCCTTGGGATATCCGTGGATGGGAAGCAAGTGCTTTGTTTATACAGAAATGGGGATGGATGTTGGAGGGATGTCGAGATATCCTTCAAGCCACTAATTACTGGCGTGAGAACCGAGGAGAAGACAAAATATTTTTCTAGAGGGTAGATAATCAATTTGGAATGTAGTGTCCCTTCTCGCGGCAGATATCTGTCTGAGACTCATTGGTTCGGCATTTACGTATCCCTATGCTCACCGTGTATGCAGTAGGGAATATGGTTGAGACGCAAAACAATATCATGGAAAGGCCAGCAATGCTCGCTCTAGCTGGTCCCGCCAACAGAAAAGGCCGAATGGCGGCTGACCATATCTGCAACAAAACGGTGAATTACCGTGGAAATATTGGCACATCCGTCTGTCAGATATTCGGTCTGACTCTCGGCTTTGTCGGACTTTCGACCCAAGCACTCCGCCAACTTGGTCATGATCCTCTTTCGATCACGGTGTATCCTCCTGACCATGCAAGATATTTCCCAGGCTCACAGAACATGACTATCAGACTTGCCTTCCGGAAGGAAACAGGCTACATAATGGGAGCGCAGATTATAGGCAAGGTTGTTGTTGACAAGAGAATAGACGTGTTGGCGACTGGAATACAGTTTGGCAGCACGGTCTTTGATCTTGAACATTTAAGTTAGGATACGCGCCACCATATGGCTCGGCAAAGGATGCAGTCAATATGGCTGGCTTTGTGGCATCTAATGTTCTTCGCGGAGACTGTAAGATTGTCCAAGCTGAACAGCTTGGCAGAGAGAAATTCGACAAACTGCAAGTTTTGGATGTCCGCTCTCCCGAGGAATTTGCTCGTGGTCATCTTCACCGAGCAATCAATCTTCCGCTGAATGACATGAGATATCACTTGGCCACGCTGGATAGTTCAAGACCAACTCTGGTATATTGTCAAGTTGGTTACCGCGGCTATTTGGCTTATTGCATTCTCAGACAGCTTGGGTTTGATGTCGTTAATCTGGACGGGAGCTTCAAGACTGAAGTTCAAGGAGGATACCAATCCTTACGTAGTTAAGAGTTGCTATCTAATTGAATGCATCAAAATGGATTGATTGCTCTTATGGTCTATCTATCTTCATGTACCAAGCTGATGGCAGTGGCTGCTTTAGGTACAAGACTTTGTACATATGTCCTTTATACTCCAGATCAGGTTGGCTCTCGCAGTATAAGGTATCTGAGTAACTGGAATACTCAACGGTGTACTTTATATACGCCTGAGAAGTGAGGACCTTGGGGATGGCGCTGGCTCCTGTAGGATTTGAAAACAAATTGAGTTGACTGGGCAGCGACACAAGAGTCATAAGGAAGCAACCCCACCAAACATCGCGCCAGCTGCAACGAGGCCATGGCCTATGATTCTAAAGACTCGCTGGCCCATACATACTGTTGCTATTAGCAAATGTGGTGAAGTCCAGAATCCATTTCTAAAGTAGCCCAAATCTTGTCACCTTCAGATTCTCCAACTACACGGTGAACCGACCGGGAAATATGCACGGGGCTCGCATGAACACAAACGCGCGTGAGATCTCTTGCCAAGACTGACGGCAATTCTGGCGCCAACGTTACACTGTAAGTGCAAAGGACCTTGGGTGGTGGGGGTTCACCGTCAATCTGACTGGCTGTGCCTGGGCAGGGGAGCCCACTCCCGGAGCATCGTGCCGCCGAACCACTATCAGATGATTGCGGGGAGAAAAGGAGGATTAACCTCCGACACCCGCTTCTGGAAATAACGGACCTTGCATGTGCACACATTGGGCAATATAACAATCTTGGGTGAAGGAAGCGCGCCGAAAAGAGTCTGACCGATGATACGGCAGAACTACGTGCATACAGGTATGAGCCACCAAATTCGAAATGCCAGTGCTCTGTAATCATTGTCCGTGTTATTTCGAGTTGCTAGATCTGATAGGTGATGCTTGCATCGCGCACCTTACTCACTCGTTCGGCTTTTCTAGAATGAAGGACCATGAGTTTGCTTGGGTTAGATGAACTGCCGTCGCAGATTAATGGTAAGCATAAAGACAAATGTTGGATACAAGGCCCGGGTCTCCGTCATCAACTGGGGAAAGGGATAAGGTTCGTTTCATCCGCCATAGACCCCTGCTAGGGCACACCCTATTTTGCTTTCCTTCGGAGCGTACATTGTAGCATCTAAATGCGGCATCGGTCCTTGATCATTTTCGACTGCCTCTTGTCTAATCATGGATCCTGTCGGTATATGAAGGCGCCTTCTGCCTTGTTTTTCCAGTCTAGCCACGGACTTCACCAATCGTCGACCGGGGATTCGTCATCATGATTTTCTCCCGCTCGCTATGGCTTCTAGCCCTAGCGCCTCGTGAGTCTCAAGGTGTTTCGCTTCGGCAGTCTTAGAGTGCTGACCTTGAGAAGTTACCCAGTATGTGTCTGCACAACAATCAACGCCCGTATCCTATACCGACCCTGACACTGGGATCGTGTTCGACACATGGACTGCATCCGGATCCCGCATGACTTTCGGCTTCACTTTCCCCGAAGATGGCCAGACCACAAACGCCGATGAGTTCATTGGATACATCGTAAGGCACTATTCGTTATCAGTAGCTGTTCTTCTCTGACCATGTACACAGAAATGCACGACTCCCAGCGGCAAGGGCACTGGATGGTGCGGTCTCTCGTACGGCGGACCCATGACAAACTCGCTCTTACTCATGGCCTACCCTCACGATGGCGATATTCTCACATCCTTCCTTTGGGCCAACGCCCAGGTCGAGCCTGTCCCGTACAAAGGCAAGGCTACTCTGACCCAGATCTCTTCCAGCATCACGGCAGATGGCTTTACTCTTATCTACCGCTGCCAGGGCTGCACTTCCTGGTCCCAAGACGGGAATTCGGGTCAACTAGCTACTACGTCTTCAATCGCCGTCCTCGGTTGGGCTCATAGCACCACGGATGTGATTGACCCCGAGTGTCCCCGTGAGGCCAGGATGCTCCAGCACGAAACTCAGAGCATCTTCGGTGGCCAACTCACCAGCAACGCTTTCAATGGTGATTATGACAAGTGGGCTAAGCTCGCCACCAAGGTTGTCGACGGCAACTGCGACGGCGGTGGTACGCCAACTTCTACCGCCACTGCTGGACCTAGCTCTACAGCTGCACCTACTGGTACCCCCGTCCCGGACGAGACATACGATTACGTTGTTGTCGGCGGTGGCGCTGGTGGTCTCCCCATAGCCGACCGTCTCAGCGAGGCTGGCAAGAAGGTTCTTCTCATCGAGAAGGGACCTCCATCTTCAGGCCGTTGGGGCGGTACCCGTAAGCCAGACTGGCTTGGAGGCACCAACCTAACTCGCTTCGATGTTCCCGGCCTATGTAACGAGATCTGGGCAGACTCTTCTGGCATTGCCTGCCCCGATACCGATCAGATGGCTGGATGTGTTCTCGGTGGAGGCACCGCCATCAACGCTGGTCTGTGGTGGCGTCCCAATCCTCAAGACTGGGATTTCAACTTCCCCGATGGCTGGAAAGCCAAAGACATGGCCACGTACGAGCAGCGTGTTTTTGGTCGCATTCCTGGTACACGTTACCCGTCAATGGATGGCAAGCTGTACCTCGACCAGGGTTTCAAGGTTGTCGCTGGAGCACTTGACAAGGCCGGTTGGAACGAAGTCAACGCTCTTGAGAAGCCGGGCGCAAAGAACCGTACTTATACCCACCCGCCCTTCATGTTCTCTGGAGGTGAGCGAGGAGGCCCCCTTGCTACCTATCTCGTCTCTGCCAAAGCACGAAACAACTTCAAGTACTGGACCAACACCCAAGTCAGACGTGTCGTTCGCTCTGGTGGCCACGTAACCGGCCTTGAGGTCGAGCCCTTCTCTGGCGCTGGTTATGTCGGTACCGTCAAACTCACTCCCGAGACTGGTCGTGTTGTTCTTGCAGCTGGCACTTTCGGTAGTGCCAAGATCTTACTTCGCAGTGAGTCTTCTCTTCCCATATATTGCTAGACTTTGTTAGTTCTAATCATGCTTCATAGGTGGTATTGGCCCAGATGACCAGCTCAGTGTTGTCGCCAACTCTAGCCGCGACGGTGGCTCCATGATCGCCAAGGACCAGTGGATCAATCTCCCTGTTGGTTACAATCTCGAGGACCATACCAATGTAAGTGCATACAACAGAGTAACACGATTGTCCGGCTAACAGTATGACAGACCGACACAGTTATCAAGCACCCCAGCGTTGTGTTCTACGACTTCTACGAGGCCTATGATAACCCAATCCCCTCGGATAAGAACAAGTACTTGGGTCAGTATCAATGATCTTCTGCAGCTGAACTATCAAGACTGACTTGGAGGTAGATGCACGTTCCGGCATTCTCGCTCAAGCTGCCCCCAACATTGGCCCAATCATCTTTGACGAGATTTCTGGTGCTGATGGCCGCGTCCGATCTATGCAGTGGACTGCTCGCGTGGAGCCCAGTCTCGGAGAGACTAGCAACAGTAAGTACATCTTGACGATCAGTGCAATTTGCTAGACCAAACCTAACTCGTAAACCAGAGTCCATCACCATTAGCCAGTATCTCGGCCGTGGTGCCAAGTCACGCGGTCGCATGACCATCACCAGCGCTCTCAACACCGTCGTCTCTGGTAATCCATACCTCAACGATGCAGAAGACAAGAAGGCTGTTGTGAAAGCCCTCGACAATCTTCGTAAAGTTCTTTCTGGCGTGGAGGGTCTAGAGTGGCTTCAACCCGCTCCAGGCGTCACCTCCCAGAAATACGTCGATGATGTAAGTGGTCCATGATTGTTTGCTGGCGTTCAAGGCACAGTCTAATGATATGTATAGATGGTCGTTTCGTGGAGCAACCGCCGTGCCAATCACTGGATTGGAACCAACAAGCTCGGAAAGGATGACGGTCGCTCAGGTGGAACCGCTGTCGTTGACCTCAACACCAAGGTCTATGGCACTGACAACCTCTTTGTCACTGACGCTTCTATCTTCCCAGGCATGGTCACCACCAACCCAAGCTCGTACATCGTCACTGTCGCGGAAAGGGCCAGTGCCGCTATCCTAGCCCTTCCCGTCTCCAAGGCCCAGGGGCAGTACCAGCAGTGCGGTGGCAATGAGTGGACCGGGAGCATGCAGTGTGGCAAGGGCTTCTACTGCAAGGTTCTTAACCCGTTTTACTCTCAATGCTACCCTGATTCCAAACAATAAGTCTAAAAGGTGCAGGACATCTTGAATGGTGCTTGTCAGGCAGTATCAGCTTGAGGAATAGCCAAGCTTTCTTACTAAGATAGGGCAAAGTCGACAGAAACTACACTGCCTTGGGCAAACCTTTTTGTATATACTTTACTACAATTCTGACATCCTGATACACAATAACAAGCTCCCAGCTTATAATGTTGATTGAGTGTTCTCGATTACTTTGTAGCACGAGCTCTAAAGGGACAGTCGCACTCGTAGCGGAACGTCGGAGACTAGCACAAGACCTAAGTTTAGGGTANNTAAACTTATCCTAAATTTACCTTAGTTACTCAAATATACTGGAGTGTCGACAGTTTCAAACTTGCACCATGGCATAAACATATACGTTCCAAATTACTTTAACATTCTAAAGCGTAATGACCACAGAACTTTCCAGAATTATAACACCATTACTAGTTGATCTAACTTTTCTGTCTGACTATGCATTTCAACTTCATCTCTGGGTGATTTATCCATGTATCGGGATCCCTCTTCCATTCTTCGGCTTGGTCATCGCTGAGTTGCAATTCATAACCCTCTACCAAATGAACCAGAATTACTCTCAACATAACATCCGCCACATACTTTCCCATGCACTGCCGCGGCCCAAATCCGAACCTCCAAAACTGATACCTGGATTTGACTGGACTGAGAGATAGATGACGCTCTGGACGATATTCAAGACCGTCTCTTCCCCAGAACTGGTTTCGCTGATTCAGAGCATATGCATCGACGACAAAGTTGGTGCCAGCGGGGAAAAGATAACCGTTAATGACACGATCTGTTGGAATTGCCTGCGGAACAGAAAATGCAGCGAGGGGCCGTAGACGGGATGATTCTGAGATACATGCCGATAGATAGGTGGTTGAGTCTGTGAAGTAGTTGTTGAAGTCTCCTGCCTTTGGGCTTTGTTTCCATTCTCGTACTTCATCAAGGATATGACATTGGTGTTCAGGATTGGCAGCTAAAAACACAAGATTCCAGGAGATAGCCCCTAATGTAACATCTAGATTGGCAAAGAGAATCTCATCGAGCGTGTGCAAGAGATGATCCTGGGACATTGTCCCGGTGGCCACAGCATTATAGAGGTCCACAACCGGCGGACAAGATCCAACATAGACAGCTCGAGCAAGGGCGTCCTTATTAAACCCAATCCACTGCTCTTTGAATGACTCAAGAGATTTGTTGGTTTTGGTCGGGAAGAACCGTGACCAATTGAATCTGGATAAGTCGTCGCCTTGCATAACCTTGCGAAATATGCCCTCGCGCAGAGGTGCAAGTTTGGCAAGAGTGTCTTCCATTTCCTTTGATAAACTTCCGTAGAGCACGTCAGCGATGATCCAAAAAGGGAGCATCTTCAGGTCTGCTGCTGGATCGATGACTCCGTTGGCCAAGTTCTCGCCGGCTCCAAGGGTCTTGAAGTGGCGTACAGTTCGCTTCTGGATGGTTTCCAAGTATTTCGGTACCGTGCTTCGTACGAATGCAACTTCTGAGACCTCTCTCACTCGTTTCCATTCATTCTGGCTCACGAGACCAACGCATTTTCCGAGTAGCTGCCCCAGTAAATACCCGGAGTTGTTATTGACTGCTTTGATGTGTTTATCTGAATCCTTGAAGACTTGTTGGACGTCTTCAGGTCTTGTCAGAACACTATAATAGATTAGGCGGAAACGAAACGATACTGGTGGTGTTGGGTTCACGTACACTTCAGGATTTGGACCTGACCATATACGGTAGATGGGTCCATACTCTGACTCCCATTTAACACTGTTCTCTTTGCCGTGGAGAAACTTGGCTGCGTCCCCTTGGCCACCGGGGAAACGATATCTGTTTGAGGGAAAGGGTTTCCCGGCCCCAACATCACGGACTTGATGAAGCCTGGATAAGAAGGCCTGTATAAAGTAAGCAATGGTCGTGAAGAATGATCGGTTTAGCACACATCAATAATCGTTGACAGCAACCAGTTCACGGGCCGGATAAGTAGCCTCAAACCAAGGAACAACAAAACGAGAAAAGGGCCTATTAACGGGCTCCAAGTTACTGTGGCTAAGCCATGAAGTGCGTGGGTCATGGGAACGTTGACCATTCTTGTGAATGGGATTGGATTGGGCTGGATTGAATGCGATCGCTGGGTGGTCAGCCAATATTGGCCGCGATCAATGAATATCTAAACTTTGGCCACCTTGGGAGCTGAAAGTCCCTTGCCCAATGAGGTTTTGGTAGCGGGTGGCCGGGATATTTCGGTGGCCGTTGCTACCTTTTCGGCCCATACCATCGGCCACCAAGATTCAACTAACTACATCCATGTCACAGATCCAAGTCTTACACTAGACGCAATATCAGTCATGGCCGAATCGTGGCGCTCTCTCCAAAACGTCCTTCACAGCTGGCCGGTCCAACATTCTTTGAGCCCACTCGTCAACAGCTGGCCAATCCTTTATGTCTACACCAAACAGATTAAACATCCAAGGCATGGCAAAGGGAAGATAAGACAAGTCTGCCAACGTGGGGCGGTCCTTTAGAGCAATGTATTTCTGCCCTGGTTCTGTCAGGCGTTTGTTGAGGATATCCCATTGCTTAGTCGTATTCTGATGTAGTCTGGAGTGGGCGAGTTAATTATTATACTCACGGGTAAAACTATCGTTTTTAACAACTCACTTCTCGATTGTTCTTGGAAGCTGAACTGGCTCCTGTCTGCTCGGGTACCCTTTTAGAAAATAGAGCCAGTACTTTGCCGTAGCCCTAGACCGTCAGTATCCATCTTCACGTCGGTAACATCCCTAATCGGCTTACCCCAGTCCAGCGGTCTGATAGGCCGTCCATGAAAGTACAGCTCCCTTCTCGGCTGCTGTTCTTCCAGCCCACTCTCCATTATTATCCGATCGGTCCGCTAGATACTGGAGACAGGCAGTGCCTTCGAAAACAATGACATCTTGTCCAGTTTCTGGATCGCGGTCCTTAAGAGATGGGACGTATCGCTCTGGATGAATCTTGTAGAACCATTCGTCCTTGGTATCGATGATAGAAAGGACATATGGGGCCTTTAGCTCTTCGGCGAGAATAATGGGTTTGATGTAGTTGATGTACGATGTGGCATCAGCTACTCAATTAGCTTCGAGATCTGGAGTGTCTATATTTGAGCTATACCTTTGATAATGTAGAGGATCACCCTGCCATCGGCATCAAGGTCTCCTTTGACTATTTCGCCACTCACCATGATGGTTCCTGAGATGCGATAGTATTTCCGAATCAGTGCTGTTTGAAGTCTATGCTTGTATCTAGATTGGAATAAATAGCTAGTTGTCTAGAACAGCGGACCGAACATCATATCGGCATTTCATCTCTGAAGATACCTTTATGGCCTCAAATCAATAGCCTGTACCCAAGCATTCCTTAACGGCCAGATCCTCTCGGCCCGCCACCCAGCCCTTTCCGCTAGTTCATTCCATTTAGCTTCTGTCCGTTCCTGGCCATTGACAGTCATCATCATGTTGATGTCTCCGTACACCGAAAGCCTACCACTTCGAGTGTCGGACAAGACGGACTCCAATACTACCAAGCGGCTCGATTCGGTCACAATGATGGCCTCCCGAATGTTGTTCAGAATCTTAACAACCTTGTCATCATCCCAGTCATGGAGGCACCACTTCATTGTGTAAACCTCATACTTGGGCACTGCTTCTAAAAAGTCCCACATATGAGATTATCGCGAGGTACTCGGCTTTCCAAGTCTTCAAAATGACCACCTTTAGTGAAGAATGGACTGATGTGATCTATCACCGCCGGCCGGTCAAATAGAGCTCCCGACATCCCAGGGTTAGCTCGTAGGAGCGAAGCCAGTAGAGCTCCACTGCCTCCTCCGATATCCATGACAGTTTTATCTCCAATCTCATGCCAAGGATAATCTGCCAGAATTCCAGGGGCCATGGCCTTAGCACCCCCTCCAAGGGTCTTGTGTAGTTGCGGGATCCAGCCTTGGCTTTCAAAATGAGCAAACATATCCAAGTCAGTGTCGAAGTTGACCTGTGCAGCGCATCGAGTAGAGCCTGCACGAACAGCTCCCGGGATGCCTCTTGCGATATCGAAAAATTGATTGCCGTACAGAGTCACCCAGTTATGCCACTGAGTTACATGATCCTTGAGTAATAGTCTGGATACATGGTTCAAAACATATTTCTCTGTTGCAGGTTCATAGGACAAGACCCCCTTGGTGTAGAGAGGACGAAGGATTTGGCCGAGCCTAAGTGGCGTTGCATTGGTCGCCTTAGCCAACTGCTCCAATGTCTTTGAACTCTCGGCGAGATGGCCAGGAACATCTAGATCTACCGCTGCAACGAGACATTTGGTATCAGTGTATCCTATATATCTGGTTAGTCAATAAATAACTGAATAGCGGATAGTTTGGGAGGTAGCTTACCAAAGAAATGATCCGCGAGGATGAGGTGGGCCGGTTCCAATATTGATTGCATTTCCCCCAGCTTATCCACTACCGAGGTAGCACGCTTTAAGACCTCATTATCTGGCAAAGTTTCTTCATCGTGCAACAGCTCTTGCAATTCCTTCTTGACCCCATCGTTGGTCAGAACCGAGAGGAACGCTGTTAATGATGCCTCGAGCTGGACAAGGGTTTGGGAAAGCGACATGGTGAGTTCAGAATGATGACGAAATAATGGTATTACTTCAGCGAGAGACTAGCACTTGTACCATTGTATATGGCTTTGCATTTCATGTTTACTAGTGGTATATATACTTACGCGACCAAATGGTAATTGGCTGGAGGGAGACACATAGCTCTATGCAGGATGGTCGGCATGCTCTTCTCGGTCCGTGTTACAGGAACCTCGGAGTAGCAAGACCATGTCGGCATTCAGCTTCACAGAAATTACATGATACAAGTGCATACACAAGCTACCCATGAATTACTAAAGTGTCCCTCGGTGCAACTTATACCAAGAGTGACTGCATAAGCAGATAACTGGTTTATTAGTTTATTACACTGGGGTCAGCCAAGGGTAGGATGCCGTTAGGTGTGTAAAGTTTCAGGTACAGTTCTGTAAACCAATATAGGAGAATGCTTTAGAATAATTCAAAATCTACCTAATTTATGAGAAATAGCACCGTGTTCACGTGAATACATGTCCCATCAAGCCAGCTCGGCACCAAGTTGAGCGGCCGCTGCACCAGCTGCCAATCAGCCCATACCAATTGCCTGGGAAACCGCCTTCATCATGGTGGCACAGTCTCCCACCGCGAAGGCTCCCTTGACCTGAGTCTCAAACATCTGACCCTCCGTCTTGATGTCGCCGGTCGGTGTAAGTTCAAGCCCTAGCTGCTCGGCAAAAGGCCCATTAATCTGCCCCATCGGCCCGTGGGCCAAAAATCCCTCAACCACCTCAGAGCCATCCTCGAACTTGATCACAATATCCGAGCTGCCCTCAGACTTCATTGACAGACCCATGATTCTGCGATTGTCTACTGTGATGCGACTCTTGGCCCCGTCTGTACCAGTGGCTGTGAGGTCGGACTCGATCTGCTCGCCCAGACCGTCTCCTCCGTTGGTATAGATTACGGCTTTATCAGCGAGCCGCAGGACCATGCGAGCAAGATGGAGTGCCATAGGCGAGCTGCCACTAAAGTTCATACCGAGGACACCAGCAGATGGCTTGCCTCGATCCTCATACCCATGGCAGAAGAGGCAGTGAAAGCTGATGGCATTAGTGACCCTATAGTTCCATCTTGGGATCAAAAAAACCTAGACACTCACATTCCTTTGGCCCAGCACTCAGTGTAACCGGGAATATCCGGGAAAAGATCCTTCCATCCTGTAGCCAGGAACAGCTTTTTGCCTGTCCAAGTAATGCCATCCGCATCGACAAGCTCAAAACCAGAATCAGTTTTCTTGGCAACGTCTACCTGCTTGTCTACAAACTGGACTAGGTCCGTATAACGGTCTAAGAGGTCTTGACGAGCCTTGGAACGAAACTCAGCTGGTGACTTGTGATCCCACGCAGCCAAGTTATGCATGTGGTTAGAAGGGGCATTGCGGTATACTCCAGAGTCGAAGACGGCGACTCTGTACACCTGGCGCACTAGGCCGGTCGCTACTGAGAGCCCAGCTGGGCCGCCCCCTATAACAAGGGCGTCAAAGGTGGCATTTGCGGTGGTCGACATAGCAAGAAGAATATGAGAGCGCATGTATTAGCCTGAGTAAACAAATCGTTTGGTTTCGCAAAGAAATTGATGGTTAAACTTGTCAGATATTTAAGATTACCAGGCGCTTTTTCAGAGGATTAGACTCTTGGCAACCGACGGGCCGAAGGAGTTGTGCTGCAGTTGTGCAGGACACCGATGGCCCGATGCAGCGCACAACGAAAGGGTAAGCTACCGTCTGGACTTGTAGCACTGCTACAGGTCGAACTATGGTAGTAGACACAAAAGGATTCACCCCACTGATGTCTTGACGAAATCTGTATTCAGAGCATATTGGAAAGACCACAAGACTTTGCAGCAAAACATCCTCCACCATGGACAACGCGATGAATAACCAAGCTTTCAACACCGTGGCGATAATCCTCAACGTCGCCATCGACAGTCTAGACCTTGATTCCAGTTTTATTCAGAATGGAGGAGACTCGCTGAAAGCAACATCTCTTGCAAACCATTTCCGTAAAAGAGGAATAGCGGTCACGCGAGAGATGATCCTCACGAGTACTTCACTTAAGCATCTTTTCACCCTCTTCGAATACCCATCGCTGGAACCTGATGACGTACAAGTCAATTCAACTGTTCTGTCCGATAGCGACTGGCAGACAGTCACTCCCGCGGAACAAGATATCATGTCCAGCCCAGACTTCTCCAACTTTGGGACGTCGAGCTCAAGCATATGTTCCTCCACATCCACGTTTGAAATGAAGTGTGTCTTCCTAAAGAGAGCTTACCGGCCGATCATTTCGACACGACTGTTGTGGAATATGGGGCCCAGCAGGCCACAGAGATGCAGCTTGCTCTGGTCCACGGGACTCTCAAAGACAGGCGGATGAACATGATTCGGTTTACTATGGTGCATCGAAATGAAGACATCAATAAGCTTCAGGTAGCATGGAAGTTTATTGTCGAACAAGCGGATATCTTTGATCTGACTTGGGCAGCGCCGTTGACTGGTACTCAGCATTCGCGTTTTGTATGGGTTGAAGATCCTTCAGAAGACGAATCAAAGACGGCGACCATCGGTTCCAGGTTCACCGTTCTGTCCCAAGATACGAACAACGGCAACTCTCAGGTCATTTGGACAGTACACCATGCCCTGATCGATGGAATCTCAGCGCAGCTTCTCCTACGCAACGTCCTAAGAGTCGCCAGCGGCCACGCCCCAAGCAATATGCCATCCTTTTGGAAATGGGCGCAAGATCTCAAGGCTTACCAAAAGGATAACGCCAGCCTTGCAAAAGAATTTTGGTCACGCCAAAGGCAGCTTCATCCTGAGGCCAGCGGTACATTGCAGCTACCAAAGCCCAACACCAGAAAGAGATCCAACGAGGCCAAAACTATCACACTTCCTATATATGATATGCGAAGTCGTCTGTTGGTGGCAGCCAAGCATAGCAACGTCACTTTGGCTACCATGTTCTATGCTGCATGGGCGCTTGTCCTATCTAGCTTCTCCGACTCCAGGACTGTTGTTTTTGGTGCTCTGCTCAGTGGAAGAAGTATACCCATTGCAAACTCGGACAACGTCATTGGTCCCGTGATCAATTCACTGCCATTGTACATCTTTGCTGATCCAGATGCTACGGTTCAAGAATTCCTCGCTTCGCTGTTTAGGAGCCTTCTTGACCTTGAGCAGTTTTCGTGGACATGTACAGACCATGGATTTAGTCGAGATTATGAATCGACGCTGTCTGTCGAGGCACGGCAGGATGACTGGTCGGAATTTGACATTCGACCAGTTGCGACGTCCAAGTCTCAACAGAGCGATGTCCCGCTGGGCATAACTGTCAACACTGAGAGCCTTCGGTTCCAGTACCACACAGACAGACTCTGCACGGTGGACGCTGAGAGGATCATGTCTTGTTATCAACTTGCCCTTGAACAAATCACTCGAGTGCACATGCCCATAATGGATGTTATGGAGGCTCTCGTGTCAGCACCAAGCCGAGCCCTCTTGGCCAAGTTTGGCAACTGCATCTCAGGTCGAACCACAAGATCCTCGGTCAGCGACGACCTTGTCAGCTTGTTCAGCAGATGTGTAGAGAGACATGCAGATAGCATTGCAGTCGATGACGGGGCTGTTCAAGTAACATATCGCGACCTTGACATCATGACAACTTGTGTTGCTACCAGAATTGCCTCGATGATCTCACAAGGTGACATTGTTTGCGTTCACTCGGACAAGTCGCTCAACTGGATCGTGGCAATCTTTGGTATCCTCAAGGCAGGCGGTGTATACTCATCACTGGACCCGATTCTTCCATCGGAATTGAGAGCAACCATGTTTCGGAATGCCAAAGCAAAGTTGTTTCTCACTCCAAAGACATGCCAACTTTGCCAAACACCGTCGACTTGCGATCTAAGCGACTCGATAGACTCAATTCTAGCAGATCCTCTTCTCAAGCCCCAGAAGATAGACATGACACCCAAGCCATGGGCCAATGCCTATCTCTGCTTTACCTCTGGTTCTACTGGGACCCCCAAGGGCGTCATGTGCACCCATGAAGGGCTGGTTGCTTTCCAGAGCGATCTTGAGGTGAGACTCTTTGCTCAGCCTGGAGTTCGTATTGCTCAGGTCATGTCGGTCGCATTTGACGGAAGCATTCATGAGATCTTCTCCGCATTGACACATGGTGCAACACTGGTTTTGCCGTCTAATGCCGATCCCTTGGGTGCTTTGGACACGGCCCACGCGGCGATTCTAACGCCTTCTATTGCTAGGGTCCTAAACCCCGACGACTATCCGATGCTGAAATGGGTAAGGGTCATTCCGTTCATTATTTATGCTCTAGGACTAACGCAATATGAAGGTTTACCTTGTCGGCGAACCGGTTCCTCAGACAGTGTCGGACCGTTGGTCATCTGTTAAAACCCTATACAACATGTATGGCCCTACCGAGGGCACTGGCGGAGCAACCATCAAACGGCTGACTCCCGGTGATCCAGTGACCATCGGAACACCCAACCCAACAACAAGAATCTACATCTTGAACTCGCAGGGGAAGCTGGCCCATCAAGGTATGATCGGTGAGATCTACATTGCGGGTGTCCAAGTCGCCCGGGGATACGTAGGTCTCGATGGCCAAACTAAAGAGCGATTTCTTCCGGACACCATCATGAGAAATGGGGAAACCATGTATCGGACAGGGGATCGAGGGTACTGGAACGTAGCTGGTGAAATATGTTGCCTTGGCCGAAATGACCGTCAGATCAAGTTGCGTGGATATCGTCTAGATCTGAATGACTTGGAGGTTCGCATCTCGCGAGCAGTACCCGAACTTTCTGGAGTTGCTCTCGCTCGAAAACAAGATGAGCTTGTGGCAGTTGTTCAACCAGAAGATATCGACATTCAGCGGTTGAAAGCTAAGATATCCTCAGCTCTGCCCCGTTACGCCATCCCACACCATCTTGTTGCTCTGAACAAGATTCCCATGACGCCAGCTGGAAAGGTTGACTATCGAGCTGTTTCAGATGCCTGCGAAAGGGTTTCGCAGAGCCAGACTGAGCCTTTGAGCGATATGCAGCGTTTGGTCTCCTGTCTTGTCTGCAAAGTCCTTGAAATCGAAGACACGAAGCAAGTATCTCTTGATTCGGACTTTATCTCTTTAGGTGGACACTCCTTGAAACAGATACGCCTTGCTCAAATTATGAGTGAAACATTCAAGATGCGAATCCCTCTTCAACTGATCTTATCCAAACCGTCGGTCCGTGGGCTGTCGGATAGCCTGCAAGTCCTGCTTGACTCAGCCCAGTCAAAGCCTCCAGCTGCATCTTGCGCAAGGCTTGGGGACAGGGTCTCGCCCATTGAACACGAGTGGCTCGTCAAGTACCAATCTTCCAGAGGGACTGCTTCTTTCAACGTCTGTTTTGCTTCCACTTTCAGTCAAGTATCAGTTTGTACAGACAGGTTGATCTGGGCATGGAATCAGGTTTTGCAGAGACACGAAATTCTATCGTCGCGATTCAGTCTCGATGGGGAGGGTTCAAAGAGATATTTTGACCAGGCAGCACCACGCGTCCAAGCTTTGTCTGATTTGGACTTTTGGAAACAAGCAAATCGACCCTTCGACTTGGCACAAGAAAGCCCCATACGAGTCTTTGTGGCAATAAACAAGCTTATGGTTATCATCAGTCATGTTGTAGCAGATTACACTACACTCAGTCTTCTTCTTCGCGACGCATCTCAGCTCTATCATGGGCACCAGGTACAAAAGAGGCCCATCTACGCCGACTCTACGTCACTCGTGGATGTGTCTTCCGAATCTGTTGATCATTTCTGGAGGGATTATCTGAGAGATCTACCTCAAGCGCCAAAGCTATTACGTGATTCACCATTGAGAACCACGTATCAGGGGCGCTCTTTCACTATGCAGCTTGACCACGAGCTTTGGGCTTCTATCATGAAGCTACCTTCAGCAAGGACCTGCAGTAATCAGCAGTTAGCTATTGCAGTTGTTGCTGTTTGTCTTCATCAAGATGTGAGTGATATGGACATGGTTATTGGCGCGCCTTCAATGCACCGACAAACCGACGACGAACTACAGACGATTGGGCTGTTTCTCCAACCTTTGCCTATCAGAGTGAAGCACTCCAAGTCACTTCGAGGTTCGTCTTTCCTTCAATCAACTCAATGCTCTATGCAGGCCGCAGTGGCCCATGCGACCTGTTGGGATCGCATTGTTGATGCACTTGACGTCAACCGCCAGTATCCCAACCATCCGATTTTTGACATTATGGTCACGTTTCTAGATGACAGAATGGTGAGCCAACTAAAGTTGGATATTCCATCTTTCGAATCTCGCCATATATGGGCAAATGGTGCCAAATTCAAGCTGATGTTTGAGTTTATGGTGGTACGGGATGGTAGCCTCGCGCTTAGGATAGAGTACGATAACTCATGCATTTCACTACATGAGGTGCATAAACTTGCTTCCCGGGTAGAGGTTACATTGAAAATGCTAGTAGAGAGCGAGATGGATTTAGACCCTTGAATAGACAGTAAACTGACATAGCTTTATGTTATATTTATTAATTAACAATACTTTCTTTAACTTACTGAAAATGCATCACTATAAATTCTATATCTATTACCTATAGACTTCGTATTATTAATTTTAATCCTTTGACTAACCAGTTCCTAACTCTCTGTCCCTTCAGTAGATATTATAATATCTGTATTAAGGCTAATATTACCCTACCTCTAGAGAAACGACTATCTCTGTTACGGATGTCGCGAATCTTGAGGGGTAGGCGATATAAAATGCACAATTCTACTCTTTTCACGGTCCGAAACTTAGCGGGGACATACCGGCCGGAGACATAGTAAAGCATACTCGCCGGAGACTTGGCAAAGCATACCGGCCGGAAACTGTAGCTAGATATACTAAAGCTTTAAAGTAAATTGTCTGTTAATATAGAGATATTAATAGATTTTATATAGCTTTTAATTATAATATACTTTTAGTAAATACAATATCTTATAGTTAACTTAAAGATATTATATTTTTATAATATTAAGTTTTAATTATGACCTTAACTGAGGTTCTCTCTTCTCAGATAAGAGATACTGTAAAAGCTATTTTGCCAACAGTTTCATTAACTCTAAACGACAGGTCTTCCGATAAGATAGATCTTGCTACAGCTGAGAACTGGCTAATCAGGCCTGAGGTTCAATGTCTTTACAAGGAGGCTATTCAGAGGCATCTGACTGAAGATGTAGGTGTCACCTTACATAACCATTCGGATCAAGGAACTCATTTTAACATTAGCATTTATCCTACGCTCAAGGCTTTGGTGGTGACGCATCGCTCCTTGCATCAGCAGCAGACTTCTTTAACACTTACTTCAAGCCGCTTAGACCTGTCCTCTCAGAGCATATAGTGGTTACGCCTGGAGCTACATCATGTCTTGATTCACTGTTATTCAGCATTTGTGATAAAGGGGATATTGTGTTGGTGCCCGCACCGTACTGGAGTTTGTGAGCCGTCCCGTCATTGAGTCAAGTACTAACCAGATGCAGACGGTTTTGACTTCCATTTCAGACTCCGGGCCAAAGTCAAGATAGTGCCAGTCACAACAAAGTATGAGTTACCTGTCGATGGGTGTAATAACGAAATACTTCTCGGCTCCTTACTTTCATCCTTGAATGAGGTATATGAAAGTGTCGCCGACAAAAGCCGCGTGCGAGCACTTATCGTGACCAATCCACATAATCCATTTGCCCAGTGCTACCACGAAGCATATCTCAAAGAAGCGATTGAATTTTGTCAAAGAAATGGATTACATTATATCTCTGACGAGCTGTACGCCATGAGTGACCTCCAACGAAAGCGACGGCATGACGGTAATGCTGGAGCGCCTTTCGTCTCTGCGCTTAGCTTATCCAACGGGAGCCCTGAGTTAGAGTGTCAAAAGCTTGTGCCCTTGCCTGCAAGTAAAGTTCATATTATATGGAGCTTCAGTAAGGACTTTGGTTCAAGTGGCTTGCGTCTGGTAAGGCTGACAATACTACAAATATTTTATTGACTGACATATTGAAAAGGGATTCCTCATAAACCAAGATCCTCTCTGTAGAGCTTTGCTAACTTCGGTTTATATACTTTCAACCATTCACACGTCCTGTCTATCCTCCATCGCAGCAACCCATCTTCTTAAATCAAAAGAGCTACCAGATCTCCTTGAAAAGGCAGCAACACGTCTTGAAGGAGCTCAGAAAACTGCTATAGCACGATTCCACCAATGGGGAGCTCCGTTCATATATCCAGACGCTGGTCCTTACGTCACGGTGAAGTTGGTCAGGGATGCCGAGAGTCTCGAAGAAGAAAATGAGGGACTAGAAAGGCTGAAACAAGCTGGGGTCATGGTCTCAAGGCTTCGCGGCTTTGGAGGCTGGAAGGGATTTTCTGGCAATCTCAACTACTACGGCTGGGTTAGAATGACGGTTGCGGTCCCGAAGGATAGATTACTTGATGCTTTGGATAGAATTGCGGATATCATGAAGTACGAGGAGAAGGAAGGTAATCACTCTGTAGTTAGTCAAGATGAATGTGACTGAAGCTTAATCTGCGGGAGCTGGCTGGCGTGGTTCATTGCATAGGCACAGTACGGTATGCTTTTCGTATCTCGTTTTGGCTTAACTAGCTTATACAAATGTATATTCACCACTAAGTAGATCCGCTGTCTAGACTTTTAGTAAGGTGTTCACCCCTAGTTATCAACATCGCGCCCATCTGAGCCACAAGCTTTTTCTGACCGTCAGCTCCAGTTCCACGAACATCCTTGGAGAATTCATGAACAATCTTCATCAAAGCTCGCTGAACCTCCTTATGCAGTATCCTTTTTGCCATCGAGATCTGCTCTTCAGGGTCTAGCTCAAACACACCAAACTGAAGAACCGGTGACGCCGTTGCTGAGTTTCGTCGGTGACTCCATGCCTGGTCTTGAACCATGTCTTCAAAAAGCACCAGTATGAGATCCAGCACTGAACACACAGTCATACAACAGCTACTGCAAGCTTTGTACTCCTCCTGGTCCATTATAGTGGCTAGATCTGTCAAGCATGCTTTGTTAACGCGCAGAATCTCGTCGATGGAATGCGTGTTGGATCGGACGTGGTGTTCGAGTATGAGTATGATCTTGGACAGTGCTGCAACATGAGGGAATTGGCGACCGTCGAACTGAATCTTTCTTGTGGCAGATGCCATGCATGCAGCTACTGAGGAACTCGAACATTCGGGGCTAGGAGGAAATTGCTGTAGCGGTAGTCCCCCGCTTGCATGTATGGTTGAATCACCGTCCATGTCTATTATGTCGAGTGCCATGTGATCCATATTGAAGTCAAAGTTCAGACCTGATTGGAAGTCATTTGACCTGTTGGCATCAGTAGTCGAATCGCCGTAAAGCCCAGCATCAGTAGCACTGCCAGTACCAGCACTGAAGCAATCAAAAACTTCAAAATTTGCAGGATTGCTCAAAGGTGATGCCAGAGCGGATTGTGACAACTCAACGCTGGTAGAGTTATGCCGTGATCGTTGTTGGTTCACATTTTGTTGTGAAGGTTCTTGGTTTCCTTCTGTGCTTTGCGACATCTGCTTATTCTTGCGTGACATCCTTCCAACCATGGAGACTTTGTAGCAGCACCTGAGTCCCGCTTGTCGACATCGAGCGCAGCCTGTCTTTTCTCCACTGCACCGGACCTGATGTGCGTGTATGCTTGTCAGCCTTGTCGGTTCCCAGCCACTGCAGCTTGTTGGTTCTGCCATACCTTGGCACTATGGCATTCAGTGCACGCAGCTCTTAATCGAGCAGGCTTTTCCCTCTGTTGTTCAGACATGGCACCGTGATGTCAAAGCGGCTGAGAATGGTGACATCGGCACTACTCTTTATGTGCTCTATCAAATACGATCAGCATGGGTGCAATTGGCTTGGTTGTCAGTGGGGGACTTTATTCTTGGTGTCCCTGGTTCATTTATGAGTGGCTTGACTATGTCGATAACGATGGGCTACCAACGAGATCTTGTGGATTCCAAAGATTTAAGCTTGCTTTGTAGAGGGAGACGAGCCCCCACGAGCCCAGTCAAACCAAGCAAATGTTCCAAACGATAGCAGAGACTAACTATTGTACATAATCCCAAGCGTGGCAGAGTTGTGCATAAGCTTTTAGCACGGCCATCAAGGTCGCATCAGCTAGCCCAGTCCAGTCTAGCCTATAGTCGCTAAACGAAAATCAGTCGGAAATAGCGCACTCTCCACCGACTCAAACCAATGGTAGTATCAAGCAAGCAAAAATTCATGGTTGTTAATTATCTCTCAGAATGTATCCGCTCACGCAATGGGCTAGATTCTCCAACCAATACCCACTTCTCTGACATTGTGTTCATTAATAAAATCCTTGTAGACTGTGTCAATTCCTTGTATTGGCTTTTACCCAATAGCCTGCAGGGTAGCTAGCACTAACACAGGCATGCATGCTAACTAATCCTTGTACGGCAGTATCTCGCCCTTCTTAGAGACCCCCGCCCCATCTTGTTCGGCTTCTCTCTGCCAGGCAGCTAGCTTTCCTTCAGTCTTCCACTTGCGAATATCTCTGACGGCGTTATCACAGGCTCCTCTAGCCAGAGCTGTATAATTGAACTCTATGTCCTTAGCAGCCTGTGTCCCAGGCTTAACATTGTCGAGTTTCAGCTCATACATAGCTGTCAGGAACAGCTCAGGTCGCTCATTGTCCTCTTTCACTGCTGTGCCGTGAGACAGTAGGAAGGTACTTGTGGCGCCTGTTGTGACTGTCTTTGCTTGAACCTAGATGGTGTGAGCCGACATCCATCAATATCACAGAATGTGGGGTCGCACTTACATGAAGCGGCGGGGCGATGATTACATCCTGGATCAGATCCTTACCAGCTGCTGTGTGGACCGCACCATCGGCAAGGGTGAGCTTGCGACAAAATTCGTTCTGTGTGCCAGATAAAACCTCGCAAGAGGCTACGTACGGTGCAAAGTCGTGGGGGTTGCGGCCGCCTCGTCGAATCCCATACCAAAGTTCCGTCGCACTGAGAACAACGGTCTGATCTGGTGGGTTCACGGATTGAGTGAAGGCAATATTGAAGCTGAACGTGGACTGGGTCATTGTGTAACAGGGGCTCGTCAGCAAGGTTGACCGAAAGTAAACGGTACCAAATAAGTAATTCGTATCAGTCGACTGATGCAGATAAAGCGCTAGGGTTAATGATCCACCCAACAGTCATGCAAAGCGTTTGTTCCCTGCTCACGCTGTCGATATATCTTTCGTGTTGAATCAACGCAAGCGTCGAAGTTAGGAGCTGAATGTGTTATTTACAGTTGAAACTTGTGATAGAGAGCTTAAATCAGTTGAGAGAACTTAGCAAGCAATGATTCTTTCCGGTTTTGGAGTGCTGTTCGGCATCTGCAAAGTGGATGGAACGCTTCGGCCCGCTTTACGAAAACAACTTGCGAAAAGCCGAGAACCCTGGTGGCCTAACCAACCTCTGGCATCCCCGTTGGAAGCCAACAATGATGGACCTTCGAAAGGATCTTTACGATTAGAGCTATCAAGGTTGCCGCAAGAAGAACCTCGAAGTCTGAATGAGTATTCCTTGTAATGCCGAGTCTGAACACATTTCTGTGTAGCAATTGATCTGGGTCTCGGGCTGAGAAACTACCTCAGATCCCAATCAAGTGTCCATTGTAAGCGACTACTAAACCAGGGTGCTGTTGCTTTACTTGGCTTGACTATATATTGTAATCTTTGGGATACAAAACCACAACTTATGGCTGATGAAAATAATTGGTGCACTTTCTAATAGTTATCTTTTTGCCACATGACCAAATACGTAGAGAATAAATATTCTATTTATAGATCGTATTGAATAGACACCACTAACATTGTACTGCACTGGCTAGCTGATGTTATTTCCGCGACTTAAACATGATCTCAGCCTGTGCATCAGGCAAGATAGCCAATCCATAATGAACTTGCCCTGGCTTATCAGTGCCCTTCTTGAGCTTAACATGATAGTTCTTGAGTAGATGCGCAAGCACCACCTTAATCTGAGCGCTGGCAAAGAACCGACCAGGACATGCCCAAATACCGTGCCCGAAATTGATGTTGTCAAGACCTGTTGATGCGTGCTGGTATTTAGTCTCGTTCCCTGGAACTTGGCGAAGTCTAGAGAAGCGGAACGGATCAAATTTCTCTGGATCGGGATATACTTTAGGGTCGTGGTTGATGAAGTGGCTCATGATGGTCATGCGTGTTCCCGTAGGAAGAACGTCCCCGGTAGATGTCTTGAGTCCCTCAGGGCTCGTGACGATACGGGGAATATTGACTGTGCTGCGATTAGTACGGCGAAACATGAAGCGGGAGGATGTCTTTGCTTAAGGTACCTAGTGACGGAGGACAAAGGCGCTGCGACTCCTTGGCAAAGCTATCTAGCTTTTTCAGTTTGGCCAACGAGTTCTTATCAATCACGCCATCTTCTCCAAGAACTTCGGTCAACTCCTTTCGCATCTCTTCTACATCTTCCTCGGGAGTGGCAGCTAGGTCAAAGGCGATGTAGGTCAAGGCGTTGGATAAATTGTAGATTGAAGCAAAAGTTGTAGCAGTTGATCTCTGCCAAGCTCCTGAACCGTTGGTGTCGTTTTGTACTGAGAAATGAACCAGTCGAGCAAATCTCCTCCAACAGGTTTCTCCTTGC